GGAACATCTTGCTCAATTGGCATAACATAGTTTATAAAGACATTGTTCTACATTCTACCTTGGTGAGTAGCGTCTGGGGTCTTAAAAGCCCGTGAGCAGCCATCTAAGATACTCCAGTGGTCTCACTCCTTCAGGAGCAAGGGAGAATGAAGAGAACAGGATACGAGGAAAAGATTAGTCCAAAGGTCTAATGGACCACAGCTACCAAGGCCTCCACCAGACTGAGTCCAGTACAGCTAGATGGTGCCCGGCTACTGACCGAGATCACAACAAAGGGTTCTGGACAGAGCTGGAGAAGGACGTAGAACAAAACTCTAACACACAAAAAAAGACCAGATTTACTGGCCTGAAAGAGTCTGGAGAAACCCCTAGAGTGTGGCCGCCAGACAGCCTTTTAGCTCAGTGGTAAATTCACTTCCAAGATTCACCGTTCAGCTGGGGATTGGACAGCCCCATAAAACAAAATGTGACTGATGAGGCACAGCAGTCCAGGGACAAGGATTAGAAGGCAGAAGGGGACAGGAAGGCTGGTGATAGGGAACCCAAGGTTGAGTAAGGACAATGTTGACATGCAGTGGGGTTCCTAACCATTGTCATAGGGCAACGTGTGTACTGTTTAATGAGAAACTATTTTGTTCTATAAACCTGCATCTAAAGTGAGAATAGCAGCACAACTGGAAGAACATAATTGATGTCGCTGAACTGTGCATGTAGAAATTTTTGAAATGGTGTATCTTTGGCTATGTATATTTTCACCAGAAAAAACAAAAAGGTCGAGAAGGGAGAGGGCTGACATGTTGTGAGGTTGTTAACCAGTGTCATAACACAATATGCACTGACTATTTAATGAGAAACTATTTGTTCTGTAAACGTTCACCTAAAGTACAATTAAAAAAATTAAAAAAAGATGTTCACTTTATGATATGTGCACTTTTTTGTGTGTGTCTTATATCTTGATAAAAGGTTAACTTTTAAAACAGACAGACAGACAAATACATACCAACAGGTGGACCTGCTGGCACAACACATTTCTTTTCCACTCGTGTAGCAGGCGGTGCACTCTGGTTCTTAGCAAGACTTTCCTGTATTAATTCCTGAACCCGGGCTTCATTAATCTTTGGGAAAGGAAGAATATGAACTCGCAAGTGGGATCCTTCTGTTGGGCGTGGCACTTTCTGGAATGCCATGTGAGGGTTTGGATTCTCCTACAATATCAGACATAGGCAAAATTATACAAGAATTAAAATAACAATGATAGAGTGTCAGGAAGAGAGTGGGAGCTCAGAGGGACACAAACTGAAATCAGGACTTAGGAGTGATTGTACATTCATTCATATATATGCCATCAAGATAAAGAGTACCAGAATCTTACTTGTTCTTACATGATCTATCAGCGGCATCTGATATAGCTGACCACTCTCTTTCCTCTTCCATGAACACTTTGTTCACTAGGTCTTCTTGCTATAACTTTGTTATTTTCTTATCTCTTTAATCTCTTAACTATCTGAATGAATCCCCATGGCTCAGTCCTTGTACTTGTTCTCTATTTACACTTACTTCCTTCATGATCACATCCAGTCTCATATCTTTAAACCATAAAAATACCAATGATTCACAAATTTATATCTCCAACCAGGCTTTATCCTGAACTCCAAAACCAAACCAGCTGCCATTAGTCAATTCCGACTCACGGCGACCCCATGTGTGTTGACTCGTGTGTGTCAGAGTAGGAAAGTGTTCCATATGGTTTTTAATGGCTGGTTTTTTAGAAGTAGATAGCCAGGCCTTTCTCCCAGCATGCCTATGGTTAGACAGGAACCACCAACTTTTCAGTTAGCAGCCAAGCACTTAACCGTTTGTACCACCCAAAGACTCCTCCTGAACCTCAAACTCATGTATTAAACTCTCTACACATAGTATTTCCATTTAAATTTAAAATAACATCTTAAACTTATGTCCAAAATGAAGCTCATAATTTCACCCACCTCCAAACCTGCTCTTTCTATTGTCTCCCCCATTTCAGTAAATGGCATATTTATTTTTCTAATTGCTGAGGTGAAAAGCTCAGTCATTTTTAACTCCTTTCTCTAACACCAAATTATCCATTCCTCTGAAAACCTGTGGACTTTACCACTAAAATATCTTTCTAACCTGACCAATTTCTATCATCAACATCTTGTTTCAAGCCACCAACACCTCTCATATTACTAAAATACAATTGTCTCCTAATGCTTCCACTCTTTCTGTGGAGTAAAATTCGAAGTTCTTACAATAACTTACAAGGCCCTATACAATGTGGTGTTTCCGTCTGACCTCATATCATACTACTGTTTCCTTCGTTCATTCTGTTCCAGTCACACAAGCCTTGTTGTTTCTGCCTCAGGGCCTTTGCACTTACTGTTCCTTCTGCCTGCAATGCCCCAAATCCCATGAATTCGTACAGCATCCTCCCTCCCCTCCTGCATTTCTTTGCTCAAATGTTACCTTTCCTGGCCACCCTATCTAAAGTTGTGTTTCCCCAATATATTCCCTACCTCCCTTATTATATTTTTCTCCTTAGTACTTATCACCCTCTCACATATACATATTTTTTTAACTTGTCTATTATCTATTCTCCTACTAAACTGAAGCTCCATGAAGGCAGATATTTCAGTCTATTTAAAAAAAATATTTTTGTCCTTTGTCGTATACCTTTAGCATCTGGAAACTGAGTGTCTGACACATAGCAGGCACTCTAAACTACTTCCTACTGCATCCTAATGAGTGGGACACAATTTTGGACATGCACTGGGATTGCAATAATTGAATGAAAGGTGTCAGCTAATATTTTTATAACTCCTAGGGCTGGCAGGGACTTCTATCCAGTTATCTAGTTAAGTTCAAATACTATAGGCAGAGTGGAATCTATCCTCTTTATAAAGTTATCTAGGGAAGGCTGCTTTACAACCATTCTTAGACCAATTCTAGCATTTATTATCCTTTGCAGCAAGAAAATTTCTTTATCTCACTGAACTTACATTATTTGATTTTGTAGATTAAGCTCAATATTACCCCATACATCCTCGGGACAGTTAAAAACGGCCACTGTCGTCATCTATTAGATCTGCTCCCCACAATTCTTTTTGGCTATGTGGCCCAAACCCAGGAAAAGGAAAGGTTGGTCTAAGACAGATGATATAGGCAGCATATCTCAGCAACATAATGAAAAGAACATTGCTTTAAGTGTCAAAAAGCCTGGGTTCGACTTCTTGCTCTGCTCCTTATTATGTGATGCTGGACAAATAACTTAGCCTAGGAGGTGAGGCCAAGATGGCAGAGTAGTCAGATGCCTCCGGTAGTCCCTCTTTCAACAAAGACCCCAAAAAACAAGTGAACCGTAAAAGATGACAACTTTAAAACAAAAAAGAAGGACTAAAAAATGTAGACATAGATTTTTCATATGGAGAGGAAGTCAAGGCAATATAAAGAAATAGAGGACTGGTTTAAACTTAGAAAAAAAGGGATAAATATTAAGGTAACCACAAGGGAAACTAACGATCCTACACATCTAAATAAAAAACAAGAAAAATATAGACTCAGCAAATACAAAATCAACAACGACAAAGATGAAAAAAAAAATACATAAAGAAAAATGACTCAGCACAGAAAATTAAGTGGAACAAAGAAACTGTCAACAACACATAAAAAAAGACATCAAAACGACAGCACTAAACTCATACCTATCAATAATTATGCTGAATGTAAATGGACTAAATGCACCAATAAAGAGACAGAGAGTGACAGAATGGATAAAAAAACACGATTTGTCTATATGCTGCCTGCAAGATACAAACTAAAACTCAAAGGATGGAAAAAAATACATCAAGCAAACAACACTCAAAAAAGGGCAGGAGTGGCAACAGGAATCTCTGACAAAATAGACTTTAAAGTAAAATCCACCACAAAGGATAAGGAAGGACACTATATATGATTAAAGGATCAATACACCAGGAGAAGATAACTATCATAAATATTTACACACCCAACGACAGGGCTCCAAAATACATAAAATAAACTCTAACAGCACTGAAAAGAGAGACAGACAGTTCCACAATAATAGCAGGAAACTTCAACACACCACTTTTAGTGAAGGACAGAACATCCAGAAAGAAGGTCAGTAAAGACACGGAAGATGTAAATGCTACAATCAGCCAACTTGATCTCGTAGACATATACCGAACACTCCACCGAACAGCAGCCAAGTATACTTTCTTTTCCAATGCACATGGAACATTCTCCAGAATAGACCACATATTAGGCCAAATAACTTAGCCTAAGGTATACACCTATGCTTATCTTACACGGTTCCTGAGAAGGCGAAATTAGATTAAAACTTGGTCTTGCCAAAGTAACGTTCATATACAGTTTATATTTTCCCCATATATCATTAGCAAAGAGAAAAATAAATAAGTAAAATCCTACACCAAGTCTTCATGATCACTACCTTCTAAACCATCTGTTGAAAAAAGTGTTCTAAAATTCTTCCTGGGATTAACATGAACATCACTGGTCTATAGTTTCTGAAATGACCCTTTTCCTAAAGTAGTATGTTTGTTCCTTTCTGTTCTTTAGGTACCACTCCTACTCACATCTTGTCTTCTCAAAAATTATAACTATAAAATCTCTAAAACACATTGGGCAGATTTCTTTTTCAGGCTGGGGAGACAATTCATGCACGTTCTGAGATGTGAATCATTTAAAGTATATTCTTCACTACTTCTGTTTCTATTTACACTTCTTTTCTTTTCTTTATAATAAAAATTAAAATTTTTAGTATATTTTCCATGACGGAAATAATATTCATTATAATAAATTTTAGAACATGGAAGAATAAAAGGAGAAAAGAAATCTTAATGATGACAGTTTATCCTCTCTAGTTATATTTTATCTATCTCCTTTACTATATATCCATCTTCTGTCTTGTTCCAAAAATGATTTAAGCTGGTTTACAAAAATAAGGATGCATATATATTTCCAGTCAAAATTCCACAAGAGTTTGTCCTGGAACGTGACAAGTTCATCCAAAATTTACAAACTAAAAATAGTCGAAGCAATTCTGAAGAAGAGTAAGTGGGACAGTCAAGCTTTCCAGACATCAAAGCTTACATAAACCTTTAATATTCATATGGTACGGTGATTAGAATTAGTACTAAGGGATAAAAAGGCTAATGGAATAGACTAGCGAGCCCAGAAACAAAGGTGGCATTACAATTCAGGCGGAAATGTTGCTCAGTTCAATGAGAGAGGTAGTATAAAGAGGCGGTTTTAGTGCATGGTTTCTGCCGTCAGACTGGATCTGTCTGGATTCAAAATCCAGCTTGGCCACCTACTGGTAGTATGACCTGCTACAAGGTCAACTCATTTACTTCTATTTGTCTTAGCTTCCTCATCTGCAATAAGAATAATAATGCAGTGCCTACTTTATAACGTTCTTCTGAGGATTGAATGAACTGTTATAGGAAAGCCCTTAGAATAGTACGTATCAGATAGTGAACACAATGTGCTAACTAGTATTAAAAAACTCATTGCCGTCGAGTCGATTCTGACTCATAGTGACCCTATAGGACAGAGTAGAACTGCCCCATAGGGTTTCCAAGGTGCGCCTGGTGGATTCGAACCACCAACCTTTTGGTTAGCAGCCGAGCTCTTAACCACTGCACAACCAGGGCTTCTAGCTAGTATTAGCACCATTGATTTCCCATGTGGAATAAACAAAATAGCACAAACTTAAAGGAAATACTGATAAATCTGATTACATTAAATTAAAAAAAAAAAAAAACCTCTGTACATTAAAAACACCATAAAGTAAAAAGATAAGTGACAAACTGGGAGAAAATCCCAGAAATGCATATAAACAACAAAAGATTGGTGTCTAGAATAAATTTCCAAAAAGAAAAATAGGACACAATCGGTGAGAAAAAACAAGTTAATCTAAGAATAAATGGACAAAGGATTCAGAAAAAGAAAACCAGTCAGTCCCATAAACATTATCAACTTCACTGATAATCAAGGAAATGCAAATTAAAACCAAAATGAGATACCATACACTCATCAGGGTAGTAGAAATGAGTAAATCTGACAGTTCCAAGTATTGCTTAGAACATGGAACAATGGGAACACTGGGACAATTGCCTAAGATAGTGTGAATTTACAACCATTTTGGAGG